TCCATAAAAATCATCTTTCAAAAATGAATAAGAAGTAAAGTTTTACCCAGATAAGCAGATGCTGAAGGAATTTATCACCACTAGACCATCCCTGCAAAGAAATACTTAAGGCATCCTGTACTAGGAATGAAATGATAATAAGTACCACCATGAAAACACATGACTACACAAAACACACTAGAAGAACAAATACATGAATGAGAAAGAGATAATAAAACATTAATAGAAAACTATCAAATCAAAAAATACATAATAATGAAGGTATAAAGGAATAAATATATAGGACAAAAAGAATATCATTAACAAAATAAGAGGAAGTTTATACTATCAATAATAACCTGAAATGTAAATGGATTAAACTCACTAATGAAAACACAACCACTGGCTGAAGAGATTATAAAACCCAGAACTAACTATATTGTCAGCTTTTCATCTCTGTGACTAAAATACCTGATGTAAACAACTTGGAGGAAGAAAAATTTATTTTGGCTCATGGTTTCAGTTAATGGTCGCTGGCTCTGTTGTTCTGGGAAGCAGAACATCATCACATAAGGGTGTTGTGAAGAACTGCTCAGCTCATGATAGCAAGGAAGTAGAAAGAGAAAGAGAGAATGAGGAAGGAGCCAGGGACAAGGGCATGCATTCCCCCCAATGATCTATTTCTCCAACCAGGAAACACCTACCTACATTTTGCAATTCTCCTAGTAGTCCATTCAAATTATTAATCCACTAAGTGAATTAATCCACGAATGAAGTTAGAGACTTAATGATGTAAACACTTCACAAAAGCTCCAGCTTTGGATATTGTTGTACTGGGGACCAAGTCTTCAACATAAACTTTTATGACACACACCTGTAATCCCACCAACTCAGGAGACTGATGCAGAAGGATAGCAACTCTGGGGAACTCCAGACCCAAGCCATAACACCAACTACAAGAAATTCACTTCACGGACTAAAACTAAAAGATTGGAAAAAGATACATTACACAAATTGAAATCGAAAGCAAGCAGAAATAACCAACATATCAGTTAAGCGTAATTTAATTCAAAAACTATAAAGAGAGGCAAAGAAAATCATTATATATTGATAAAAGGATCAATTCAGCAAAAAGATAAAACAATTGTTAATATATATGTATTCAACTAGTGACCACTTAAATACAAAAGCAAATATTTCTAAAAGTAAAGGTACAGGTAGATCCTAAGAATAGTTGTATACTTCAACACCCCACTTTTATCAATAGACAGACTGTCCAGAATGAAAATCAACAAAGAAATATCTGCCCTGAGCCATATTTTAGAGCAAATAGAGCTAATAGAAATTTACAGAGTTTTCATCCAATCGTAGCACAGTGAATATTCTCTCATAAGCACATTGAACATTCTCCAGGACAGATCATCTGTTAGGCTACAGATCAAGTCTCAATAAATCAAAAATATCAAAATCATATCATGTACCTTCTTGGATTACAAAAGAATGAAACTACAACCAAAAAGAAGAAGAAAAATGGGAAGTCTACAAATGTATTAAATATCATACTCCTAAATTACTAGTGGATAATTTAAGAAATTAAAAGAGAAATCAAAAAATTCCAAGAAACAAGTGTAATTTACTACACAATATATCAAAATATGTAGGATACAATAAAATCAGCATTGACAAGAAAGTTTATAGTAATAAAGGCATACATTAAAAAATGATCTTAAATAAACAACATGAAACTGCTAAGAAATTGCTAAGAAAATCAAGACAAAACCAAATCCCAAATTATTAGAAGGAAAGAGAATAAAGAGAATAAGTAAATAAAATAATAAAAGATTAAATAAAAGTAATAAAAGATCAGTGAAATAAAAAAAAATTGAAAGGATTAAAAAATTGCCAAACCTTTAGCTAGACTAACCAAGAAAAAAAGAGAAGACTCAAATAAATAAAGTCAGAGATGAAAAGGAGATAGTATAACTGATACCACAAAAATTGAAAACATCATAATAAACTTCTCATAATTATACACTAACAAACTGGAAAACCTAGAAGAAATGGAAAAATTTATAAATATATACATAGCAAAATCAAATCAAGAAAACAATAGAAAATCTAAACAGATCAATAATGAGTAATCTAAAATTTCCCATCTAAAAAAGTCTAGAACCTGATGACTTTACTGTTGAATTCTACAAAACATTTAAAGAACTAATTCTAATCCTTCTTTAAATGTGTTTAAAAAATGAAGTATAAAGAACTCTGATAAACTCTCATCAAGGCCATCATCATTACTCCAATACCAAAACCAGATAAAGATACAACAAAACAAAAACTATAGATTCATACCCGGATCAACATATATGCAAAAATTCTCATAAAATACAAGCAAATTGAGTTCAGCAGTATGTCAAAATGATCATACACTATGATTAACTTGGATTTATCCCAGGGATGCAAGGATGATTCAACAATGCAAATCAATAAAAATGATACAACATATTAATAGAATGAAGGACAAAACACATATGATCATTTCAACAGATGCTGAAGAAGTATTTCATAAATTTCAACATTCTTTCATAATGTGTACAGAAGGAACATACCTTAAAATACTGAAGGCTATATATGAAAAACCCACAGCCAATATCATATTGAATTGAGGGCGGAGGGGTGGGGGCTGAAAGCACTTCCTATAAGATTGGGAACAAGACAATGATGTCACCTTTTCTCACTCCTATTTAATGTAGTTGGCAGCCTAAGCAAGAAGAATTAGGCAAGAGAAAGAAATAAATGGCATCCATGGTGGGAAGGTAGAATTACATTTCCTTGTATGTAAATGACATGGTTTTATACATAGTAAAACCTAAATACTTCATCAAAATGCTATTATTATAATGAATCTGTAAATTGTACAGGATGCAAAAATCAAACAAAAACAGTAGTATTTTTATAAACCAATAATGAGCTTTTCATAAAAAAAATTGAGAAATCAGTGCCATTCACACAATATCTACAGAAAAAATATTAGGAATAATTTTTTATTTGTTCTTATTAGTTATACATGACAGTAGGATGCATGTTGACACAACATACATATATGGGGTATAACCTCTCATTCTTCTGGTTGTACATAATGTAGTAAGAAGAAATTTAACCAAGGAATTAAAAGATCTCTATAATGGAAATTATAAGTCACTGAAGAAAACAAAGAGGAGAAAAAAAAAGGAGGCTATATCATGTTCACGGATCAGAACCAATTTTGTTAAAAATGACAGTACTAGCAAAATAATCTAAAGAGTCAAGTAATCTATAAATTCACATTTCCTCAAAGTGCAAATGACTTTCTTTACAGAAATAGAATAAAATATCCTAAACAAAAGACCCAGAATAGCCAAAGCAATTCTGTGCAAGGAAAAAAACAAAAAACAAAAAACAAAACACTGGAAGTATCATAATGCCGACTTCAAGACTTTCAACAAAACTATAGTAACCAAAATAGCATGGTATTAGCATAAAAACAGAAATATAAGCAAGTGGAACAGAATAGAGAAGCCAAATATTGATCCATGTTTATACAGCCAAAAGTCTTTTATAAAGGCACAAGGAACACATAGTAAATATTGTCTCTTCAGTAAATGATGCTGGAAAAATTGGATATATATATTGCAAAGAATAAAAGTAGATCCTCTCACTGTACACAAAACTCCAAGTATATCAAAATCTAAAATGTTAAACCAGAAGTTATGAAATTAATACAACAAAAGTTAGGAGGAAGAATTTTAAGATACTGGTATAGGCAATTAATTTTTGGATAGGACCCAAAGGCACAGGCAACAAAATTAAAAATATACAATTAGAATCAGATCAAACTAAAAAGCTCCTGCACAGCAGTGGAAACAATGAACAGAATTAAGAGATAACCTAAAGAATGGCATAGCGTATTTTGAAACTATTCATCTGACAAGGAATGAAATCTAGAATATCTAGATTTTAGGAACTCAAGTAGCTGAACACCAAACAACAAATAATTCAGATAAAAATCTGGCTAAAGAACTTAGTAGACACTTCTCAAAAGAAGATATACAAATGGTCAACAAATATATGAGAAAATGATCAATTGCAAATGGAAATCAAAATAACAATGAGCTAACATCTCATCCCAGTTAGAATGACTATCAGTGAAAAGACAAATAACAACAAATGCTGCCTAGGATATGGAGAAAGGTGAATTCTTATACACTTAGCATAAATTAGCAAAGCTATTATAGAAAGCAAAAGGAGATTCCTCAAAAAACTAGATATAGCATATGAATAAGCAATTTCACTACTGGATATATATCCAAAGAGATGAAATCATTATACCAGAAAGACACTTGCACTCTCATAGTTATTGCAGCACTATTAACAATAGCTAAAATATGGAATCAACCTTCTTTAGTGAACAAGCTGATAAAGAAAATGTGATATATATATATATATATATATATATATATATATATATATATATATATATATACAAAGGAATATTATTCACCCATAGAAAGATAGAAAGAATGAAATCTTGTCATCTGCAGCAACGTATTTGGAATTGGGGTCATTAGATTAAGTAAAATAAGCCAAACACAGAAAAATAAATATGCCTTGTTATTACTGATTTGTGGAAAGTGCAGTGGAGAGAGGATACAGAAATAAGTTCAATAAGGGGTAAAAAAACAGAGTGGAGGAATTACTTCTGACTTTTCTATAGAACAGTAGGACAATTTTTGGTTAAAAAAATCTATGATATATTTTTAAATTACTATAAGAGCACAAAATTCCAAACATAAAAATGACTCATGTTTGAAGAGATGCAAATATCATTACCCTGATTTGAATATTATACATTGTACACACGAACTGAATTACCACAATGTACTTCATAAAGATGTACAAATATTATGTCTCCATGATTTTTTTTAATTGGAGGTAAGTGTGAACATACAGATTGCTAACTAGTTCCATCCATTGCTACTTACCTCATCAACGTGCTGCCCCAGGTTCAGGATTGATTTGCTCAAGTTGCTCTGTTTCTCCTCTGTGTGCACACACTCCTGGGTCTGCTAAGGAGCTTTCCGCATGGACTTGGTTGCTCAGTTAAGTTTGCTGATTTCCTTCTCAGAGATTCTACCTCCTCAGGCAAGCTCTTGACCTGTGGGAAGAAGACAGAGATCTTCATTAGAGCCACCACTGGAAGCATGAGCATGACACCAAGGGTCTTCCCTTTTGTGGTCCAAAACCCTCATGAGGTATCCAATGTCATCGAGAGCTACATTTAACCAAATTCCTGATACAGTCTTTAAAACTGTTTTCTTCCACAAAGAAAAAATAAACATATATGTATACATATATGTGTATGTAATCTGGCATGGAAAAATGTATTCTGGTCAGTTACCAATATGGCTTGATGGACAGATCATTGTCAGAGCCTTGTATTACTGGATGATAACAACTCCAGTAAAGGTAATTGTGCTTTCCTTTGAGGATTCAGGGGACATGTACTAATTGCCCCAGAGTCCCAAGGGAGGGACAGATAAAGAAGGGTTCCAGCAGATTACACATGCAAAAGTGGAAGCTAGCTTTATCAGGCCCTGGTGCTTTTTATATGGAAGGGAATTGATAAACACAAGAACTGATATTTAATTATTTGCCAAAATTACAGAGTCATTTTGAAGATTAGCTGTTTGTCAAAAGTTTTATAAAGACTCCTCACTAATCTCAATCCACAAATAGATACAGAAATCAAAACTCACAAGTAAAGAAAATACCAGAATTCTCCCTGAACTGGAATTAAAGTGATGGCTGCAAGGTGAAAATCCATATCATTGGCAGAAATTGGTTTTCAAACACATCCCAAATTACCTTTTTGCAAATGTCATCATGCTCTTTCTCCTTCCAAAAAAATAGATTTAGGGACCCCATGAAACCATTTGGTTCTTTCCATTAGATTTCAGATGACATTAGACTAAAGCAAATGATAATATTTCATTTGGTGGATTAAGTGAGGCTCCCTAAATTCAAATTGGGAAATCACAGTTTATCAGACCCTTTATTTTATGCCAGTTCAGACTCTCAGTGCTATGAAGTTGCAGGCCATTATGTTAAGTAAACAGCACACTGTGGGTACTGAAGCCTGGTCTGGGAGTGGAATCCAGGCATTTCGGCCTTCCTAATATTACAGAAAACGCACCTGATTCTCTGAAGCATGCTTCTACTTTTCTGACTTCGCTAATATTGTTTCCAGGTCATCGATTTCTTTCTTCAACTCAGAACATTCATCTTCGAGTTTCCGCCCCCTGGCAGTCAGTGCAGAATTTATCTCCTCTTCTTCCTCCACCCACTCAGACAGCTCCTCAACTCTGGCCTCCAGCTCGATCTGTGATTTAATCAGGGACTCGCACTTCTCTTCAACATTTGCTAGGGTCTCTCCTTCTTCCATGAGAAGAAAATTGTTGCCAACAGCTGGAAGTAATTTATCAGTTAGGCGAAAATGCTGCTTAACACATAGCAAAGAGATAATTGCCTGCCCTCTGCCCAGCACCCTCACCTACCTTTCCTAGGCAGCTGAAATAATATTCCCAGGTCCCTGATCCTGTTGTTGAGAAGTGGAGCAGCTGCTTGTGTTTGGAGGAGCTTTCCATCTTTCAGGCCTATTCAGTAGATTAGATGACCTCTTCTAAAGCACTTAATAGAATCCCCTGGCCTAAGGAGTTTGCATGCCTGCAATGATCAGTGATGTGCAGCTTAAATCACACCTTCTGGAAGCAACAATGTGGGCACTTAGCTTGAAGTTGATACCTGCTCTTTTAATAAAGCTGTGTTTCCTCAGCCAATAAACTATTTATAATATTATTATAAGGGCCCAGATGCACTTGTTTAATGTATATGGATTTCTAACAAACTGAGCAGAGCTGAGTATGTTTTATACACAGGCTGAATTTAGAATTCATAGTTATTTACAAGTCACTAACTGGATATTACTATTGTTTCTAACTATATTTTTGCCTCAAAGATTCTGTGAGCATTAATTCTATGAGTTCTACACTTAGAGCGTAAAATAGTTTGTTTTACAAGCACTTCCTCCAAATCTCAAGGTGACAAGGTGACCTATTGTTTCTGTGTTATGGATCAAAAAAAAAAAAAAAAAAACAAACAACCCCAAAAAAACCGTAGAGTCTTTTTGCTATAGAGTATCTTTCATAACTTTGATCTCCTCTAATTTGTCTTCTTTAGAGGCTAAATAAAACCTCTTGCTTACAAGTTCTTACAGGTGTGTTATGAATAAGTTCTCATTGCAAAGTGACTTCACAAGCCTCTTCATCTTCCACCTCTCTCTCATCCATCCTCCACAACATGCCAGTGGGACAATTTCTTAACTCTTCCTTTGCTTGCATAAGGTGTTTCAACCAATTAGATCAAGAGCTGAAAAATGTAAAAATCTGGATTATCTGCCTCTGCACAACTCTTGGATAGAGAATGTCTACCTGTCCAAGAAACAGGATCACAGGGCACAGAGAGGAATAAAATGGTAAATTTCCAACTTCACTGAAGATCCATAAGAGAGGGACCAAATGAAAAAGAAATATCAAGTTACAAAGAAGAGTCCATGCAAATCAAAGAGGCTTCTAATGTTTGGGAAATAACAGGGACATCTGATTTCAGTTCACTGGGGATTGACATGCAAATGGCACTTCACTGCATTTCAGTCAATACATTACAGGAACTGTCACCATCACCAAAAAAAAAGAGAGGACAGTCTAATAAACACCATTGATCCCTTTGTTAAACAATGGTGGAGTTTTGGGGGTCAGCTGAGCAATGGTGTGTCCCATCTTTTCCCCAATGGAAGTTATTCTCAAATAATTTTAATGTTAATTGGAATGGATTCACCCAGTTCTGCTGACATTTTGAGTAAATAAATAATTTTAAAAGGATCTCTGACTTGTTGATCTGAGGGTTAGACATGCCCTTCAAACTAAATTTTAAAATATTTCATAGTTTTGTTAACTTTTTACTCAGTTACAATTTAAACTCACCCTAGTCTTTGTACATTTGCTCTAGAAACTTGCTTCCATGTATTTCTGTGATCCCCAAAATGATCTTTAACAAGTATTCCAAGCCTTTGTACACCATGCCTCTATACGCATTGGATCCATTTCTTCCTTTCACATCACCTTGGATAGCACAGGCTATTCTCCATCAATAGGAGGAATGAAGGGACCCAGGAGTCTGGGTTTCATCCAAAGCTATCTCTCTAATAAGCCAAAATGTGTTATAAATTGTGATTATTATGTTATGAATTTTAAGTAGGTTTTCAATGGAATTCAGGACTTTATTTTTAACAAAGGTGAATATTTATTTTGTATAAAAATAGAAATCGCAATAAAATACGAATGTTATACTAATACCCTAATTTGTATTTTTAATAAGCATCTCAAGTGATGCTAGAGTTCTAGAATTGCTGTTTTGCTAAATATTTATCAAAAATGTTGGTTTCAGTGTACAGTTTTATGTGAAATGTGGAGTGCTGGAATACAGTAATATCTCCAAATAAAAGGATAACTTGGATCACTCTAAAAATACATTTTCTGGTTTTAGTTTTTTCTGTTTCCAGTAAGTTTATAACACAGGAAAAAGTGTTCAAATGATGGTATTTGAGATTTTTTTTAAAAAACTTATCAGTGTGCCGAGTGGGCAGAAAATGTAATAAAGGTGAATAAAATTTTATCCTTACTGTTTTGGAGTTTAGAGTATTCCAGGTGGCTAGGGAGAAGAAATGTGAAGGGGAGTAATACCGCACAGGCATCAAGTGGAGAGAGGGGCTCAATGCTAAGACCAAGAGTTGGAATCTAAAATATATATATGGCAGGACCTGAAGGTGTCCCATGGAAAGCAGTATGATTTTTTTTTTCTTTAAGACAATGGATCTTAACCCTGACCAGATAACAGAATTGCCCATACAGATCCTTGAAACCACAAAGGATCTGCTTAATTACAATATCTTAGACTAGGATTAAGCATCTTTTTATTTTTTCAAACTTCATGGTGAATTTGATGCAATGATAAAAAATTGACAACTGATGGTTTAAGAGGACTCATTTTTAATGGTAATTCAGATTTAGGAAGACAAGAATTAGGAATAACTGGAAGCACATTGCAATAGTCCTGAAGATTTCAGTCAAGCCTTTCTCAGAAACAGCAAAAATCTTGGCTGCTGCTTTGCAATTAGATCATGGTCTACACACAAATTTAAATTGGACTCAGAACTCTCTGGCCTCTTGAAAGATTACGGTCTTCAATGAGCAGACATTGAAGTGATGAGTTTTTATAAACAGTAAGAGTTGCTAAACTGTCATAATCATGGTAAGTATAAAGAGAAAACTTGTAGCAGATGTATGAAAGAAAGAAACTGCAAGAGAGGAAAAAAGAAACAAAGGAGTAACAAAATGTCAGAAAACAACAAATAAACCTGCAGCAGTAAGTCCTCACCTACCAATAGTTACTTTAAATATAAAAGGATTAAATCTCCAATTAGGACACAGAATGAATTAATTTTTTAAAATGACAGAACCATTTACAAGAAACTCACTTCACCTCTAAGGACACACAGACCAAAAGTAAAGGACTGGAAAAAAATATTCTACACAAATGACAACTATAAAATCAACAAATATTTAGCTAGATGAAGAAACAGAAGACTCAAGTAAGTAAAAGCATAAATGAAAGAGGAAAATCACAACCAGTTTCTCCAAAAACCAAAGGAGGGTAAGAGACTACTATAAACACTTATGAGCCCTAATCTAGATATCCTAGAAGAAATGGATAAATTCCTAGAATCATATAGTCTATCAGAATGGAATGAAAAAGAAATAGAAAATCTAAACACACCAATAATAGTGTAGGGATATTACATCAGTCATCAAAAATATACCAACAAAGGAAATAGAATTTATTTTTCAGAAACAGAAAAAGGTGGCCCTAAAATTCATATTGGACAACCAAAGGTCCTGAATAGCCAAATAATTCTTGAGCAAAACACACAAAGCTGGAGGAATCATATTACCTGAATTCAAAACATACTACAAAGCTCTAGTAATTAAAACATGGTACGGCCACTAAAATAGACATTTGGACAAAAGTAATAGAATAGAGAGCCCAGAAATAAATCTAAACATTTATGGTCAACTGATATTCAACAAAAATGACAAGACACACAATATGGAAAGGAAACTATCTTTAGTAAGTGGTGTGGTAGTTAGCTATCCCCATGATGAGATATAAGTAGACCCTTTTTTCATACCATGGGCAAATATTATTTTAAAAATGATTTAAAGACTTCAAACTATAAAACTATTAGAAGAAAACTTATAGACAAACTCCTTGACATTGGTCTGGCAATGATCCCCAAACACAAGCAACACAAGTAGACAAATAGGATTGCATTGAACTAAAAAGCTCAAGAACAGCAAAGGAAACAATCAACAAAGAGACAACCTATGAAATGGGAGAATATATTTACAGACTATGTATCTGATAAGAGATTAATATCCAAAATATATAAAGAACTCAAACAACTCAATAGTATGAAAATAAATAACCTCATTAAAAATGAGCAAAAACTCGGATAGATATTTCTTAGAGATGACACACAAATGACCAACAGGTGCATAAAAAATATTCTACATCATTAATCATCAGGGAAAGGCAAATTAAAACCATAATGAAATATCAACTCACACCTATTAGGATGGCTATTACCAAAAAGACAAAAGCTAGGTGTTGAATAATGTGTGTGGAAAAGATAACCCTTAAACATCATTGGTAGGAAGATAACTAGTATTACCATTATGAAAAACAGTATGGAGTTTCTCAAAAAATTAAAAATAGAACAACTGCATGATCCAGTTTATCCCATGTCTATGTATTTTGCCAAAGGAAATGAAATAATGATTTCAAAGAGATACTTTTCCCATGTCCACTGAAGTTTTTCAGCCAAGAAATGGAATCAACCTAATTGAACACCAGTAGATGAATGAATTTAGAAACTGCAGTATGTATGCAATAGAATATTATTCTGCCTTGAAAAATAAGGAAATTCATTCATTTGCAAAAAGGTGAATCCAGAGGACATTACACTACATGAAAATAATCTAGGGACAGAAAGAAAAAACATTGTAAGATTTCACTTAGTTATGAGATATCAAAGAGTCAAACTAACAGAATCATAGGTAAAATGGTAATTGCTATGAGACATGGAGTGGGGGAAATTGGGGAGATGTTGATCAAAGGGAATTCAGTTCCAGTTAAGCAGGATGCATAAATTCTGGAGATCAAATACACAGTATGGTGACAATAGTTGCCAACCTTGTACTATATTCTAGAAACTTGCTCATACAGTAAATCTCATACTCACCATAAACACATACAAAATATAACTATGAAAATGTTAATTAGCTTAATTGTGGTAACCACTGTGTATACATTGTCAAAGCACCAGATTATCTAACATAAATATGTGTAGTTTTTATGTTAATAAAACCTCAACAA